TCCTTTTTAATTTATTTAAATTTTGAAAGCAACTATTCAAATATACAAATTAATTTATGCTGATATCTTGAGCTAAGCCTCTTTTGGTAGTTAATCTCTCAAAGATGCCCATCCTCAATTTTTTATCACCTCCTCACCCACTCCATTCCACAGTGCACTTCGACTTGGAGTTCAATTCAGATGAATTACAGACGAAAATCATATTTGTGGCCCGTTCCAGCGTGTCAGAGTTTCAATGTCAATGTTATAGTCAAGCTAAGGATGAGGCCGCCGGGGTTCAAAGCCATGGATCCATGGGTAACCCAACCTTTTTCTCTGCGGCTGGCGCAGAGTTCGCTGGAGTTGGAATTGAAGTTGGAAGGCGGAAGTGGGATCCAAGTGCTCATCGATGATATGCCAACGTGCGAGAATCGTAAGCATGTTGTTTGCTCGTCTATTAATATGTGTGCGCTGATTCAGTTTTGGAATCCGAGTTGATGATGTGGGTAGGCCCGCAGAAAGTGCCAATCAAAAGCCCCACCGAAACAGAAACATGTTGACCCCCACGCAAGAGGATGTAGCCGGAGCTCGAGTTCTTACAAGTGGCGTCGAGTTGATCCACACGTAGCGCGTCTAGCTCTAGCGCTTGGCAAGCGGATTAGCCGCGAACTCGTATCATCTTATCTCTGTGCAATCTCCTCCGGCATTCCAGGGCCGAAGGAGACAATGGGCCATTCAGCCCAACCGCTGACCCGCAGTGCATGCCATTACCCGGGGCTCCGAGCACGCACACTCGTCGAACGTTCTCTCCGATTGATTTCGGTCATCTAATGTGGCTCAAGTCGAGCTTAGGGATTGCGTAACCGCAACAGAAGCCACAGAGACCAGAGACCAGAGACAATCCCCGCCAAACAAAAGGCACATTTTTCGGTAGCTGCAACACCATCTCATTTGTTGCCTTGGCTGACAGTGGGAACAATTTTTATGACCACTGGGGCCGTAAATAAATCACAGGACCCAAAGCTAGCATCGCCCACAAAATGTAATGTTTAGTCACTAGCTTTTGTTTGCTTTTCGGTGTGTATTTACACAGGGGAAAAAAGGTTTTCTAAATTAAATAAAATTATTAATTAGAGCCTTAAGAAATTTGTAAAATATTTACTAGAATATTTTCAAAGATCATTACCAAATTGCAAAGACTATTGATTTCATTTCAAATAACGATTTGAATTATATATTTTCCATACTTTTTCCAAGTGTCCCTAATGCCACATCAATCATTGCACCTCCCCGGCCTGCCCCCTGATTGAGCTCCATCAGAATGCCTAAGCTGTGCGCAGCTTCTTCTGCCCCTCCGTTCTGTTTCAAGTTTAATTGCTTCGCATACGTTTTAATTATGCCGAGTACTCAGCACCCCAGTACCCAGAGTATACTCTGGTGCTCTGAGATCCAAGAGCTGGGAGCACTCGCAGCGACTAATTTGGCAATTTGGCCAAATGCACGAATGCGGCTAAGAAGACTGCTGCGGCTGTGTGAGTGTAATTACTTTATGGAGTGCACTGTGAATGCGTCTTTTATGACAGCCATTGAAGTGCAGAGCGCGATCGAGATCGCGTCCATTGCTCAAATGCCAGAGGTGAGCAGCCACGGAACATCCAACTGGGGGGCAGGAGATGAAGGAGATGGATGGCCAGAAGATTCCCAGGTGTGACCTTCGCGTGCTCGAGAGGAGTGACAAACTAGTTGAGTTTTGATGGAATGTTATCGGTAACTGCCGGGATAACTAGTTGTGAATGCAAAAGACTTCTTGAAAAGAGATTATCTAATTCAATTAGATTGTACAATGTGGAAAGTGGTTATTAATTAAAAATTAATGCTTTAAGATATTTAAAATCTACATAAAAGAAACTTTAATTTGAATAAGTCTATTTTAAAGCTAGAATAGAAACCAGATTTTAGGGGTTTTTAATTAAAAAACAGATTGTCTTAAAGAAAACATCTCCCAATTATTTATATTTATTTTAAACTTCTTTAATTATTCTGATATATAACCTTAAGAATATACTGTTTTAAGGGATCTTAGGAAACTCCTTCTATATGTTTTATGGTTTATATAATAAGAAGTTCCTTTTCTTACACAATCACTTCCTCATATCCATTCTATATAGTATACTATACACTCCACACCCAGCCAACTCAGATCTTATTCATTTCGATTTATTTCAGTTCAGTGCAAAATGTCAAAGTTTGGCAATTTTTTGTGTGAGTCAAGCGACTTTTACTCCGATTCTGGCAACGACCTTCGCGTCGGGCGAAAAATGCAGTCGGCGTGCCAAGAGCTGTGAGCCAGAGGAGATCACTCTCGAAAGATCATCATAAAGAGTGCTTCGATATATTCAAAGTGCGGCGCAATTTGAATTTTACATCAAAAGATGCCTTAATTGATTTGGTCCGTAGGTCCGTCTGTCTGGGGGGGCTGTGCATCGGAAATTATTGTAGTTTAATTTAAATTATACGTTGGACCGCCACTCGTCAGCATTCTAGGTTTCAAAACAAACACAGATACGAATCTGGCGATACAGATACGGGTTAGTTGTAAGTATTTCAAGGTCCACCCCTCTCGAAGCTCTAGAGCAACCAACCAAGCCAACAGGCATCAGCCATCGGGCATCAAGAAATTAGAGATCGTCATTGTCTTCGAGTTGGCGCATCATCACCTGGCTGGCTGGCTGACTGGCTGGGTGCCATTAGCTTCCCTCTCTAGTCTGCCACGTTCAATGTAAATTAGCCGATGCAGGAAATTAAATGATTTTTTAATGTGCTGGAAAAATGATTACAAACAAAATACAGTCTGGCCAAAAAGATGCTGAAAACCGAAAACAGAGCTCAAGTTGTTTATGGAGTGCTATTGAATATGAATTTCAACCGTGTTTCGCTCGAGAAGGGAGTGGAGTGGAGTGGTGTGGAGTGGGGCAAGGAATGCGGTAAACGAAGTTTTATTTAATTGTTTTGTTTACAATCCCAGACTCACATTCATGTTCATACACAACCCCGTATTAGCCATTATGGAGTTTGTTATAGTTTTTTCGTTTATTTGCATATATTTGCAAACATCAAACTTCAAATGATCTTGGCAATTACAAAACTCTGGCAAACTCTTTGCAGTTTTATTCTCTAATTTATTTTTATTGTGGTCTGCGGCAAGGTCGCATTATTACTTGCAGAAAAAAGCGCTTTTGCGGAATTGGCCGCCAAGGAAGCCCTTGCCTCATCCCTTGATCATTACGGGGCGGGGCAGCGCTTGGCCTTTGAATTTACTTTACAACTCATAAACTTGGCATTATCGAATGTGAAAGTCAGCTCGTGCCAAATCGCATAATGAGCTGCGGTCGCCTTATAGCAAAATGCCTGCCAACAATCTCATTTGATTCGCATTTTTCGATCAATGAGCCAAAGACAATTGACCAAAGAAATATTTGCAGATCGTGACGAATGCTACGCCCACCGTTTAAGTGAATATGGAATATGGCAATAAATATATTGAGTTACTTTTCCCCATCTTGTCAAGTGCGGTGTTTCGAGTACTTTTTGAAAAGAGTTCAAGTTTTCCTTTGTGTTATGCAATCGACTCTTTGATGGGATAAGCAAATATATTCAAATGTTATTAGATAAAACACATGTTGGGTTTTTGGGTGCAGGAAATAAAAATAAAAATCTGTATTTTATTTTAAATCGAAAATCTATGTACAAAATGGAAATGAAGGAATATAAGAAATGTTAGAAAAAACACTAATAATTACAAGAAAATAACTAAAGGGTTATTTCAAGGATTTTAATTATTTTCTTGGCTTTCTATAACTTATTTTTAAAGTCTGTATAATTTTCTATTACTAGTTTTACCAGTTTTATAAATTTCGAATAATTCTAGTGAACAGAATTTGGAATTTAATAAAGATAAAACCTTTTACAAACCCCTATTTAACCCTACAAGGATCCGATATGTTAAAGATAATATTGATCCCAATTATCCTGCATAAAAATCTCCAATTAAGTTCACTTAAAACTCTTTGTTAACATTTAAACCACTATTTCCAACTAAATTTCTGCCACTATAGCATAAATTTTCCCAGCCAGATAGATGTATATCAAGATAGCCTATCTGAAAATCGTTTTGAAATGCTATTTCCTTTGCTGTGCTCACATCTCAATTGCAGCTTATCCGACCTGAAACCATGTCAACGCCAATCAAAACAGCCGCATCTGTGAACTCTGGGGCATAATCCAGCCTAGCCGAAGACTCCCACGCACTTAGGGGGGGAAACAATTTGCTGCAGCATTACCCAAAAGGTAAAGGCAAACTGTTTCGAGTTCGTTGCCAGAGTCTTTTGTTTTCTCGCCTCGTGTGAGGCGGCCGCCGCCGAAGCTGCCGCTCGACTGACTGCGATCGGAGATGAAGATGCGTGGAGCAGCTGCCTCCGCTGAGCTCCGCTCACTTTGCTGCTGCCACTGGCTCGGCCGACGTCTCTGCCCGGCGCATGACTAATTCCATTACAATAAGTGTTTCTGCTATTACACGAAGAGCAACAAATGTTTATGGCCTGCAGCCGCAGGAGCGCATTACTCCCGCGTCGCGGATGTCGCCGGTGCGCTCATCTACGCTCATTTGCCGAACGCTGAGGCGAAGCCAGCAGCTATGTATGTGGCAGTCATCGTCAAAATGTTTGGCGCTTTAATTTCAAAGTAACTAGTTTACTATAACAAACCTCTTTTCTCGCGAGCGCTGAGAGCGATCTGCCAGCTCTTCCTCCTCTCCGTGCTTTGCATTATTTTGTAATGTTTTCTGAGTGCTCGTTCGGAGCTCATTTTTTTTTTTTCTAACCGAAAATTGAAATAACGAACTGGAAGAAGAAAAAAAACACTTTTTGGCGCGCAATTTTTCGAAGCCGACGTCGACGCGACAGCGTTCGTTTCAAATATAAATACTGGCCTACGAAATTGTTTCAGTATCACAATCAAGTCAACCATCTTCGCAAGAAGAACCCCAGCCAGCAGAGCAAGTTAACAAAAACCGTTTTCGTGTGTGCCAAAATCCCCAAACAAGTGACAACACAAAATGAAGGTATATAGAGATTCCACACCAAAAGAACTGTCAAGTCAAGTCAAGTGTGTCAAGTGGTGTGCAGTGTGAAACTGAGTCCTGATGCCAGGATATATGGGCAGAAATTGGAAGAGGATATATAGATACGTATAAACTTGTAAAGGATTAAAAGTAAAGCATCGAAAGGTGAAAAGTTTTGGAAGAAGTAGGCTGCCAGGATAATAAATTATGATTGCCAGTGAATCTAAGCATTAGAATTCAACAATACTTCCTTTTAGTTTTCCTTAATTAAATTAATAGCTAGCACTCCTCCCTTCAGTTGAAATAATTATTAAATCATATTTTAAACCCGTTTAAAAGAAGTGCCAAAAACAACAGCATGTAGCCCTCATTTAAAATCGATTTTTGGCAATTGATCAATCAATCAATTAAACAACTTATCAAGCTAATGAAGCCTTGATTGTCTCGGAAAGGGAAGAGAAGAAATACAAATCTTTGAGCCATATTAAAAGTCAAGTTCAGCAGGCCGATTAATCAAGCCAGGGGATCCGCATAATAAATTTCATAAGCTGCCATCAACGCGGCAAAGATAGCCATTCATTTGCCGAAGGCGGCTACTGTGTATTAGAACACGACACCTCCGATGATACATATCTCGTCGGTGCCTCGTCGTCCGCCTGGGAAACAATTGCAGCCAGCGATCCCATTACCTTTTCTAGGGTGTGGGTAACGAACAGTAGTAGCGGCGGGTCATTTTGCAATGCATAAATTAAACAAACTTTTAAGTGGCGGAAGAAGAACAACTGGACATGCCCAAGTACGGCGGCAGTCTGGCGATGACCAGGCGGCGATAAAAGGCAGACAAAGGCAATGCTAGACGCAAGAAGCTGTGCAAAGCATAGCATTTTAACGCCAATGAAGCATGAAAGTCATTGGGCAGAAGCTCTTTTAACAAAAAAAACTAATAAAAAAAAGCAAAAAAAACTTTCGGAAACCGGGTTGTGCAAGCCTACGCCACCGATGTTCTCCCACAGGTTGCCCGCGCCACACGGCGTATACTTAACATTCAGACGCATTGCACAAGAGCGAGATCAGCCCTTCACTTGCTTTAGCTTTAGCCAAAATCCGATCCGAGCTTCGCCTGAGACCCAATTACCGCAAAATTTGCATATGCCTCTGCTGTGGCTAAATGCTGCCAAGTAAAAAGACAATGCTGAAGCTGGCCAAAACAAAAGATTGTCAAGTTATGATTATGAGAGTTTAATGAGTTGCAAACCAGCTAGAAGCTATAAAGGGGTAAAAAACATAGATTTCACATGGGAAATTTTGGATAAACCTTTGATTTCTAAGGACTGTCATTCTGATCCTTGGGACTATCCACCGATTTGTAGGCATTTTGGTGGATCTTGAAGCCATACAATCTGACAAAGAAACAAGAGGATATTTTCATTAGGATTAAATAGGTAACAATTATACCTTCACCTGGGAGTAAATTTCTTATTGGTCCTCTTGGGTCTCGCTTCGGGATGCACCATAAACAGCATGTGCGGGAAGCCAGTGCCAAAGAAGGCCCCATCCAAATTAGAGTGGCGCGCCGCTTTCGGGTAATAGACATCGTTGCACTTGGGGCAATAGAGGCGCACCATTTCCTCGCCAGGATTGTCGGTCAGGCCGATGGGCAGCACCGCCTGGCGCTGGCAGAAGGCTCGCGGACAAGTGCCAAAGCCAGACTTGTAGAACTTTTCCAGCATCAGTTCGATGCCTCGATTGGTGAGAATGAAACGGGCATGGATCAGACCGTACAGCTTCTCAGCGCTGGCCTCCAGCTCCGACTCCGGCGGTATGTCCGAGGCCGAACCCGAGCTTAGATCAAGGATCACCTCCAAAGCACAGCGATAGTTGGTCACATTCGAGTCGAGGAAGTTTAGATTGAACTTGTCCTGAATATACTCCTCGTCCACCTCGCAGAAGAACTCGTTGCCGCGCTGTCGGCAGAACCAGTGGATCCAGGCGGTCTCATCCGAATCGGACATGGCTTTCGTATGCAAAGCTCTTGATTCCAGTGACTATATCCTAGATAGAAGACACTTTACAGAATTTTGAAAGACTTCCGTTTAAGTCTGAGTTTTAACTCATGGGTTTCCTAGTATTAGTTTTAAATTTTAATAGATTTACTTTTAACTTCCTGGATTCTTATGTCAACTTCTCCTTTAGTGCTTTACGTCGATCGCGCTGCTCGTGTGCCTGGCCGCCTGGACCCATGCGGAACCCCCAGTGCCCCAGAACCAGTACCTGCCGCCCAACCAATCGCCCCAGGCCCCGTCCAACAACTACCTGCCGCCCACTCAGGGCTTCCAGTCGCCATCGAGCAACTATCTGCCGCCCCAGCGGACTGGCGGCAATGGCGGAGCGCCCAGCAACAGCTACGGAGCTCCCATTGCTCCTCCTCAGGGTCAGTACGGTGCTCCGGCGCTGACGGGTGCCATCTTCAAGGGCGGCAATGGAAACGGCAACGGCGGATATGGCGGTGGCAACAACAACGGCTATGGACAGCGCGATGAGGAGCAGTACGGCCCGGCCAAGTACGAGTTCAAGTACGACGTGCAGGACTACGAGTCGGGCAATGACTTCGGACACATGGAGTCTCGCGATGGTGATCTCGCCGTGGGCCGCTACTACGTGCTCCTGCCCGATGGCCGCAAGCAGATCGTGGAGTACGAGGCCGATCAGAACGGATACCGTCCCACCATCCGCTACGAGCAGGTGGGCAATGGCAACGGAAACGGAAATGGCAACGGACGCAATGGCGGCGGCTATGATAGCAACGCGCAGCAGGGCAAGTTCAACGGCTATTAAAAGGGGGCAGAGTGGTATCCCGATTTAGGTCGACCCGCAGCTATACTCGTCTACTTCACGGGATCGCTGGCCGAGTATTAGGCGTCCACAAAGCCAGGGGGCCAGCGGTCGCAGTCAGTCTCTCTCTCTCTTCCTCTTTACTCTGCCTTACTTAATCTCTCCCCCTAGTGGGACGGCCGCCATTTTGCCATAGACAGGCGCGTTCTTTCCGTTTTCGTTTCATTACCGTTCGTTCCCCTAGCTGTCTCTATGACCGGAACTCCTTGCCGTTTTGTTTTGTTTAAGCGCCTCTTCATTTTGTGTTAGTCCACGCACACACACACACACAAAAACACACCCAATCACACACATTAAACACACACAAACATGTGACCATTACGCATTCATACATACATGCATAAGGATTGTACTTAGTTTTTAAAAAAATGAAAATGGAAAATTCGAAAGCGAAACGAACTTATGAGATTTTTGTGTATATTTAATAATTATTAAACGAATAAAGAAGCATTTTTGTATAAAACAAAGACAAAAAAAGAAAGACCGCCAAGTGTTTTGAATGGTTAAGAAATATGATTTATATTTTCAGGAAGTTTAAGTAAACTATTCACTTTTAATTACTGAAAAGTCGATTTAATCTTCTCTGAAAATATACACTTTTATTCCTTTTAATTTTGAATGGGGTAAAATAAATGTCACATAATTAATAATTACTTCTTCAGCACCCGCTCCAACTGTCCCTGGCTATTGTATCGGTAGACAGGATCCTTGAGCTGTCCCACAGTGGAGTAACTCAAACGGGCTGTAAAATCCTCATCGTTTCCATCCTGCTCCGAACTGAATGTAACTCTCTGGAGTTTGTTATCCTGGGATATTATAAAGTAGCGTCCTTCCCTGATGTTTGGTTGATTGGGTTCAGCTGAATCCTTAGGTGATACAGGCTCCTCCTCATCGGGGTAAACTATTTTGAAGCCTGGATCTGGCGCACCATATTGGTTTGCAGGACGGGAGCTGGGCTGCTTACTCACTGCTTCGGGTATATCCAATTGTTGGGAAGGATACACTTGCTCCACTCGCGCCTTGGTTACCTCTACACGCGGATACGAGCTCCTAGCCGGTAGATACTCATTGGGTAGATTAAAGGGAATCTGCGGTTGCCAGCCAGAAGGAGAATATGGAGCAAGACGGACAATCGGGGCCTCTGGATCTCCTCGAACCAATACCAGAAGAGCAAGCAATAGAAGAATCTTTAAGGAAGATTTGTTTTAAATATCAACTACACCGGATGAAATCACTCCCTACCTTTGCTAGCATTTTGATGAACGTTGCAATGGAAACTGCAGTGCAACGTCTTTAAGTTGCGCATTTTTATATTGACTTATATCGAACAACTAATGCCTTTGTTATGCCGGACACGCACCTTGTCGGCCTGACACCAATTGGACTGCATCTGTTCCATCTCAGCCTACATAGTCACGTATCCAGCCGACAAAAAGAAGAAACGAGTCACAGCCTTGACAGCGGATGAGCGAATAATTGGCAAAGGCTCAAGTTTGATTTTGGCTAACAGATGTTGGTGGCGGCTGTCAGATTGTAAGTACTATAATTTAAGAAAATGAAAGTGTTTTAATATATTATATTGCTAAAGTAATAATTAACTAAATGCTGCTTAATACCTCAAGTAACTACTTAAAGTAAAATACTTAAATTTCAAATTAAACTAATTTGTGTAGGATTTATTTTCAAATTAATTTCTGATTTAAAATATATATACATGTTATTGGTAGAAATGCTTCCTACTCTCTGGTAAATATATTTAAAGTTGCTAATAAATTGCACTAACCAATTGTTTTATTGCTTGTCACATTTTCCAACAAGAAGTATTACGTTGGATTTGTTTAGATTAACTGTAAAATTTAGTTTATAAATTTAAAATTTTTTTTAGATTTATTTAAAGCTTAAATTTAAGATATAATACTAAAACAAAGCCATCGTTTTAAAATGATTCGTTATTTTTAGGGTGACCCACTGCACTTTAAAATCAAAAAATACCTCATGTGGTATTTTTGTATCTGCTCGGATTTATGCTCTGACCCGACAACGGTCACACCACCTGGATGGAGTTTTTTTAGGAAAACTGCAATTTGACAAAACTATTTATTTATTTAGTTAAAAACAAGATAATTAGAATGTTTCCATGTTAAATGTGTGTTGTCCCTGTGCAAGTAACCAATGCCCGCGTGTTTGTCCCACTCAACGTTAACGCAGCTGCGAAATATCTGTGAAGAAATTTCATAAACAAAACGGCGTGGAGGTCGGGGTGATCCTGGTAATACATAAAAGACACCCAGAACAGTAAATAACTCACATTCTGATCCTGTTGAGTGACCCTGTTTAGGTATGCGTTAAATCGATGAGCATGTACCAGTGGCCGCGCCGCTCGCAGGATACCCGTAATTATGTGGCCCAGATGCAGCTTCCACATTACGCTGCTGCTGCTCGCCCTGGGCGCGTTGGCGTCCACGACTAGCAGTCAACAAGTTCCTCTAGCGCTAGCCAACACAACTAGCAACAAAGTGCCTACGGATGCCGGCGGGGATGTGGTGGCCGGCTTCATGCCGCTCCAGCAGTCGCCAGCGAGCATATTCTTTGTGAACTACAATCAGCAGAATGCCATGCAGTTGCGACACAGCATGGAGGGCAAGCTGCGCAACATTCGCAATGTGGAGATGCGTGTGGCCAAGATCCAGGTGAGAGTCTGCTCCATTCCTTTGTGAAACTAGTAATCTTGAATTCCTTTTTTTTTTTTAGGAAATCTTCGACTCTATGCATTTGACCAGTGGCAATGGTGGGGCGCCAGTTCGGCAGACCTTTAACCACAACGAGAGCGGTATGGCCAATCCTCAACTGCAGAGGGACTTGCAGCTGTTCAGCAGCCGGCTCAGCAAGAAGCTGCAAAAGGCCACTCACGTTGTGCTGGAACTGCGCGAACTCCTGCGCTACAACCTCACCAAGGTCTGGCAATACAGCTACGACGAAGAGGATGAGGAGGAAAGCGAACTGGACCTAGAGATGGAGATGGAGGATCTGCATGCCAGAAACACTGCCCCGCCTTCCGCGGATCATATGCAGTTCTATTTAAACAGCCAAATAGAGAGCTGTCAACCTGATGACTATGACACTGAGGTGGACACTGTGTCGTCCTCGGCCCAGTCAATTCATTACAACAAGCAACAAATCCAAATCCTCAACTATCTAAAGTCGGATGATGGACGCGCCACATTCCTAAACGAGAACAATGCCCGTTCCCTGGCGGTCAATGGCTACATATCGGACCAGCTGCTGCAGCTCAAGCGCAGGCTAAGTCGCAGCGAGACGGATAAATCGAACACCAAGCCCAGCAGCGGCAACCACTTCAAGCATATCTACTTCCTGTCCAATTCGGACGGGGCCTCCGCCAGCCTACACTTTCGGCAGCTCTACGTTTCGGCCATTAAGCAAAAGTACGTGCTGCTCCTTATAGACGTGGGCTCTGCGCTGAATTCCGAACTTTTTGACTTGACAAAAAGCTTTGGTAAGACTTAAAAAATATTATTTCAAGTCGGTCATTAATTAAAATACTTTTTTTTTTGCAGTTCACGAAATGCTGCAGTTGCTGGAGGAAACGGATAAAGTCTCCCTGGTGACCGTCTCCAGTGAAGCTAGCTTTATGTCCTTGGAAGCCTTTCCCGCGGAGGCTGGTCATGGCATTTACAGTGCCACGCGTGGCCACAAGGAGGAAATCCTTAGCTACATAAATAACTTGAGCCGGGCTCAGGCCCTCACCAATCACTCCTTGGGCTTTGAATATGCCTTTGACTTGCTGCTTCGACTGCAGCAATCGGGAATGATCAACACTGCCGAGCAGCCAGTGGAGTTTGTCTACATTACGCGCGGTCTCTTGACCAACCTCTCAGATGCCATGGCTGTGCTAAGAGTGGTGGCTGAGGGTCAGCGGCGGCTCAAGGCTCCGGTGATTATTAACACCTGTGCCGTGGTGCTGGACGAGAAACGGATTATGTACGAGAAGCAGTTCCTCAGCGATGTGGCCACGCAGAACTACACCAAGTATGAGATTGATGTGACCAGCTGGTGGCCCAGGGCACGACAGTTGGCTGGTCGCTTCTTTGTGCTTAGCAAACTGCATGCAGAGACGTCGCTGCCCGAAACGAGCTCTCGGATATTTGGCCAGCTATTTCAGGAGCGTTATCTGACGGATACGCTTGAGGTTCATCCTCCGGTTGTGGACGCCGACAGTGGAGGTGAGTTTTGATGGGTATTTAAGTATGTTGCCCTTGCTCATAAAATCTCTTTCTACAGATGTCCTAGTCTCCATCACTCATGCCGTTCCTCCGTATGGCGTTGTGGGCGTCAACTTGTACCTGGCGGATCTGCTGGAGGATCTGCTTAACTATCCCAGTGCTGCTGCCTCCAGTGCCAAGCAGGGAGGCAGTGGCTATGCCTTTCTCCTGGATCGTTCCACGGGAAACACCCTTGCGCATCCGGCTTTTCCGCGGCCTCTGATCCAGCGCGAGACCTCGTATCCGGTGAATATAGCTTACCTGGAGAATGCCACAGATTTCTCTAGTTTAATACGAGAGCGCCTTCTGCACGAGGAGAGCGGCAATGCCACTGCAGATGTGTATGTGGGTAAGCAGCGCCTAAAGCGCACCTACCACTGGCAATCAGTACTGGGCTTTTACGTGCTGTGCCTGGTGAGCAGCGGTGGCGATTCGCTAAGGAATGCCTCAAATGTAGCCTCGCAAAGATTTAACCTAAAGGACACCGTGTCCAACTATGAGCCTGGTTATTACGGAGAGAGCATGGAGCTGTTGTACCATCGGCTGGACCTCAACCAGGGCGGCAGTGGGCAGCCAAAGATTTGCCGCTACTTCAGGCAAATGGCCACTTTAGGTAGGTCTTTCCTTGGGCTTTTTTCTCGCTTGTGACTTGAACTCATCGTTCTCCCTTGCAGATGCTCCCACTTTGTTCCTTAGTGCCGCCGCCTTTGAGTCTCCCTTTGGCTTTCTGCACAACAATCGACCGCGTACGCAGCTACGCCATGTGGAATCCATTATGGCTTATCTACGCGACTCCAGTGGCCTCTTGGCCAATCCCGGCCTGCGTCCCAGCATCCGGCACGAGGTGAGTGTGCTTTACCAGGCCATGCAGCAGCTGCGACGCCGGCACCAGGATGCCAGAGGAACGCTGCGCAGTCACATCATTCGCCGCTACATGGCCAGTGTGAGCGGAGTGCTGCAGTTGTACCCAGGCTGCTTGCTGAGCAGCAGCTACGATCCCACCCGGCGGCCTTGGTTCCGTCAGGCCATGGCTCAGCCGGGCAAGATTGTGAGCACAGCTCCGTACCTGGATGCAGGTGGAGCTGGTTACATTATTACCATCGCACATACAATCTTCGAGGGAAAGGCCCATGCCCTGCACTCTGTCCAGCAGGATAGACCCATGGGAGTGGTGGCCTTGGACGTCCCATATGCCTTCTACTACCGACTGATCCTGGAGGGAACACCGCTCTGCCAGTTGCCGCACATGAAGTGTCTGATGTTCGAGCACGAGGGTTATCTGCTGGCTCATCCCAGTATGCTGCAACCGACCACGACGACGAGAAACCAGCGCCGTCCGCACGAGCACCTTACACACAAGGAATCCTATCTGGCCAACGATGTGCTCAATCATGGGCAACTGGTGAGGAAGCTGGGCTGCGCCAGCTATCAGAATCGCACCCTGCAACGCTTCTACGCCTTCAACACTTCGCTGGCCACCATTCTGGGCAACGTTGTGCACGGCGAGCGGACCAAGTATGCGATAGCCCTGATTCGAGGCAGCAATCTCTTCGCCGCTGTGCTCAACTCCAGTTGCGATGGAGGCGCCTTCTGTCCCTGCAGTACCATCGACCGGGAGTGTCTTAACTGCAAGCGCATGGATCAGACGGACTGCGAGTGCCCCTGCGAGTGTCCCATGGTGGGTGACAGCAGCTCGCCCACCTCCCTCGCCTACTATGCCAACTACACGCACCAGTTCCCCTACTGCCCGCCACCGAGTGAGCACTTTATAGCGCTGCCACCGACCACGCAGCTGGTCAGTGCCTTGCCCAGTTGTCCCGGATCGGCGGGAACCTGCGAGGCGTATTCCACTCAAAGGGAATGCCTTGGAGTGATGGGCTGCGAGTGGTGCCAGCAGGATGTGGAAGGCAATAGCTTCTCCACTGCCTTCTGTGCATCGCAGGCCAGCTGCTTCAATGGCGTTCTGGCCTCACTGACGCCGTACGGTGAACTGGACGAGCTGGAGCTGCTGGCTGCCCACAATCCGCAGCGCGAGCAGCACGCCTACTCGGCCTTTGGGCCGCTGGGTGGAGCCATCATAGTCCTTGCTATGGTCATCGGGTTCGCCATCTATTGTTACAGGCACAACCTGGATGCCCAGACGCAGGAGCAGTTCTACGTGGATTCGGTGCAGGAGGAGAACTACGGTCTGCCGCTCTCCAGGTTCAACTTTGACGATTGCAAGGCGCACGATGAGCCGCCTCTGGGCGGGGGCTATGACCATGCGGCAGCTCAGCGACAGCTGATGAATGCGGCGGATATATCGCCCTATCACGTGTCCAGCGGCAGCAGCTACCGACGACCTCCCAATGGAGAGTCGGATCATGGATATAGCACCATGACGCCGCACGAGGATAGCTCCGATCAGCAGTGCTTCACGCTGGCCGAGCCCCTGCTGCTGCACGACAAGCGGCACAGCAAGTCGGACACCATGTCCATATCCACCTCCATATCGAGTCCAACGAACCGACAGCAGTCCTCCACGCAGCCCAACACCCATCCGTATTTGAGCAATCAGCCGACCTCGAAGACGGAGCGCTACAAGCAGCAGCAGCAAGTGCAGGCCACGCCCTCGCCCTGCCGCGATCGCGACCGCAGTGGTGTCTACGGTCAGACCACGTTGCCCCTGGAGGCGGACGAGTCCCGGCCGCACTACATCCTAGCGCCCGTGACTGTGCACCGGCACATGGAGACGGCCGAATCGTAGTCGTTGTTAAGTTTTAGAGCGTAAGGTGTCCGCTTGTTTGCCAATTTAGCTAAGTAAGTTTCCAAACCGGGCAGTTCAACTGCCGCCAGGAGAGTCCATGCCCGCTCGATGGATCCCAGTTCCGGCCCCACTGTATCTATTATCTATTAACTAATAACTATTCTCTTATAGAGCGTATATGAGTACGAGTCTAACACCAACTATTAAGTGATGACATTGTTTCTGCCATTTTTGATCGATGTATTGTATTGTATTTTACTGTAATTTATTGCAAAAGTATTACTACTATTATGTATGTGCAGCCACTAAATATACTTCCAATAATTTTAGCATTTATTTTATAAGCACCAAACCAACCAAGCAATGTACTTACTTGTCTGAGAATGTAAGATACCATGTCGTATACCGTTTTTTGTAAAACTTAGCACCTAAGCTCCATCAAGTTACTAACTACCGATTTTAGTACCACACTTCTATAATATAAACATAATAATAGCATTGTACGTTTCAAATAAAATGTTTAAATTTTGCAAAAAATAAACAAAATGAGTTTTTGAAGTTCTCTTGTGAATGCAAAAATTGAGAAAAATATACCCACGTAAATATCGTCTATAAGTAATGTGAAAGATGTGTTTAAAAGGATATTTTGATATTCGATGCCGTTAGAAAAAACTGTGTTTTTCAAACTTATCTCGAATGACTTGAAGTTTTTAGGGCACTCTCATTACAAACTTATCAGCCGGAATCGTGGAGATAGTGGAAGTGCTATTTTTTCAAGGCGTGGGTGTTCAGAACGCTGTAACTCAAGTTCGACACAATATTTTCAACCTAAAATTTTTATTTATAGTTTTAAAATATACCTTAATAAGTGATAATAAACCTAAATGTCTAGCTATCTAGCTATCGTAGAAAAAAGAAAATTAAAAACACCTAAAAACAAGAAAGAAAGCTAACTTTGGCCAGCCAAAATTTGTATACGCTTGCAGGTAACAATTAAAATATATTATTACTAAGCCAAAAATGCATTAATTTCGATTCGGAAAGCAGTTTTGTGTTAGTTTTTATTAATTTAAAAAAACTGCATACCAAATTTAAAATTTTAAGAAATCCAAATTTTTGGCCATTTTTGCTAATTTTAATGATGTAACCCCTTATCAAATTTCGCAAAAATGGGCAAAAAATCGATTTCTTCCGGACATGTCTAGAAAGATTTGCATGTTGATGCTGATCAAGAATATACATGGTTTATGGGATCGGAAATGATTCCTTGACTTAGAAAAATATTATTTTGTATTATAAAATCTGATTTTTTATATTAAAAAACTTCTTGATTTTTTTTTTTTAATTAAAAATATCATAACTCGGTCAAAAGAGCATTAATTTTAAATCGGAAAACTGTTCTGTGTAAGATTTTCTACAGTTAATAAATCTGCATACTTCATTTAAAAATTTTGAAAATTCAATTTTTTATCAAAATTAAAAATTTTAATGATGTAACCCCTTATAAAATTTTGCAAAAATGGCAAAAAAAATCGATTTCTTCCTAACATATCTAGAAAGATTCCCCTGTTGATGCTGATCAAGAATATATATACTTTATAGGGTCGGAAACGTCTCCTTCACTGCGTTGCAAACTTCTGACTGAAATTATAATACCCTGCAAGGGTATAAAAATGCCGTTACATGATATGACCCCTATTAAGATGCTGCTGAGATCGCACAGATAAGTAAGGTTGCAACTTGCAATCCACAAGCCTAGCCTTAGGGTTTATTTTCTATGATTTCTAGACTTTTATGCCGAAAGACTATATGAAGAATATATATATTTTTAATGAAGTCAAAAAAGCCTCCTTCTGCCACTTTTGTGGGACCTAAGGTAAAGTCCTTTTTTTGATTTTTACAACCGGCAGACAGGGGGTTGTAAAAATCAAAAAAATTCGCAAGGCTTTAACCTTGATCGATTGAGCTGCCAACTTCTTGTCCTCCACCGATCAGCTGGGCAATCGTTAATGAATTTATTTATATTTACACACATAGACAGTTTATAGGCAAGACAGACGCTGCTCAATGGGCGATTTCTCGGCTGGCAGTGGCCAAAAGTTGCCAATTTAAAAATAACAATCTGTGGCCAGGGGTTGTCAGGTGTGTCTTTAGTTTAAATATTTTCAAGTCAACTAAAATAAACCGATTCGTCTTTATATAAATATATTGCTAAATTCTTAAATACATATTCTAAAGCCAACAGCCAGAACCTTCATTCTTACCACCCGATACCCAACCGGTACATAACCGTTAAGCACCCGATTCATACCGTTGCCCCACAGATTCGCTACCCCACTGATTCGCCCACTCGACTACCCTGGACAGAAGCTGTGCTGGCTCTCACTGATCGTTCCATTGCAGGCACTGCATTCGGTTTTCTGGTCTGGCGCGCGACGAACGTTGTTTTGGGTCCCCACACTTTAGCCCAGCAACGACGACTCTCTCCACTTCAGCTCTATTTTCAGGCCTATCTGCACTCCATTTCCATCGATCCCCTCGCACTTTGAAGTGAGTGTTTGTTTGTGGGCCGAAAACGGCACTGTTTTTGCAAAAGTTTTCGAAAATATGTACAAGTTTCTGGCGTATAAAGAACCAAACTATTACGCAATGCATTAAAAAGTGTTTAGCAGACAAGGAAAAAAAAAAACAAAACAGTTATGTAAAAAATAATTGCATCTACAAGTTTTCGAAATGGGAAATTAAATTAATTTCTAAACTAGAAAGTGTTTTTAGTAGGTGAAAGAATGAATTTTAAATAAAGTAATAAAATTATTGAAACGGAATATTTATGATAGTAATATAAGTTAAACTTATTTTTTAATATGTGCAAAGAAATAGCTTTTTACTTTTAAACCTAATAACTTGACAAATTTTGAATTAAATTACGTTTTCATATTTTCTTTAATTGGTAAACAAAGCTAAGAAAGTGAAATTAAATTTGATATAGCAATTGGCCAGCTTTTTTTTTGAAAATTGTTTAATATATATTTTTTTAAACAATATATATATATGTGTTATTTTATTACATCATGACCTTAACCTTAAACCTTTTTATTTGGTTTTTTTAATACTTTTAGCCACTCTAGGCACCATGTTTAAGTCCCTGTTTGATGCCGCGCAGAACTCAACGTTCAGGTCGCCCTTCACCAGCGTCAACTGCCAGGCTGCCACGCCTGCCTCTGTGCCCGCCCCCTCCGCCGTGGCAACTCCAGCCCTGAACGATGTCTCTCCTCGCCAGCTGACTCCCAACCACAACATCGCCGCCGCTGCTGCTGCCCAGGGTGGTAAGTAGAAAGAACCTTCAAAAAGAAAGCTATTACTTGCAATTTTAAGCCTTAAAACCCGTCTCTGCTCTCCAGATTCCTGCGAGTTCGGCTCGAACCACTACTTCCTGCTGTGCGGTCTGGGCGGCATCATCTCGTGCGGCTCCACACACACAATGGTGGTGCCCCTGGATTTGGTCAAGTGCCGCCTGCAGGTGGACCCGGCCAAGTACAAGAGCGTGTTCAACGGTTTCCGCGTCAGCTTGGCGGAAGAGGGCGTTCGTGGTTTGGCCAAGGGCTGGGCCCCCACCTTCATCGGCTACTCGATGCAAGGTCTGTGCAAGTTTGGTCTGTATGAGGTCTTCAAGGTAATTTACGGAGACGCCATCGGCGAGGAGAACGCCTTCCTGTACAGAACCGGACTCTACCTGGCCGCCTCGGCCTCTGCCGAATTCTTTGCCGACATTGCGCTGGCACCCATGGAGGCGGCCAAGGTCAAGATTCAGACCACTCCCGGTTTTGCCAAGACTCTGCGCGAGGCTCTGCCCAAGATGACTGCCCAGGAGGGCGTGGCCGCCTTCTACAAGGGCCTGGTGCCATTGTGGATGCGACAGATCCCCTACACCATGATGAAGTTCGCCTGCTTTGAGCGCACGCTGGAGCTGCTGTACAAGTATGTGGTTCCCAAGCCCCGTGCCGACTGCACCAAGGGCGAGCAGCTTGTGGTGACCTTTGCCGCCGGTTACATTGCCGGCGTCTTCTGCGCCATTGTCTCGCATCCCGCCGACACAGTGGTGTCCAAGCTTAACCAGGCCAAGGGCGCCAGCGCCCTGGATGTGGCCAAGCAGCTTGGCTGGGCCGGTGAGTGAATATTCAAGTTTTCTTTGTTTTCTACCTCTAACGGCTTTAAATCCCGATTTGCAGGACTCTGGGGAGGATTGGTGCCTAGGATCGTGATGATCGGTACCCTGACCGCTGCCCAGTGGTTCATCTACGATGCCGTGAAGGTTACCCTGCGCATGCCACGCCCACCACCACCAGAAATGCCCGAGTCGCTGAAGAAGAAGCTGGGAGTGACTGGCGAGCAATAAGCCAAATATAAGTTAATTGTTTTTAAAAATAGAGCGAGCAGAATAATAAACGAATTAACCTTGGACTTGTATAGATAAACCACACAGTAAATAAAAACCAAACACAAACAACGGAGCGCTTTTAAATCGTAATTTTTAAAATGTAACCGCCAAGGATTCGATTCAAAATCAAGCATTGTGCAACACTGTAAACCAGCCTTGATTAACACCAAACAGCTGATTAGACCAATTGTTTATGTTATCGAAAAATCGATTCTTTTCAAGACAAAAACAAAACACGCGGTCGTCGGCGTGTTTTTATTTAACGTTTATTTGGTTAATTAAAACGTTAAGCATGGTCCAGAACAAACAGAAATCCGCAAAGCTTCCAAGAGCAGGGAAAAACACGGTTAAAGAGCCGGCTGCTCCCAAGGAGGAGAACTGGCAAAAGGTGAAGATCAAGGGCCACGTGATTTCCGACGATTTTGGGAACTACGAGGGACTGATCGGCCTGGAGGTCCTCAAGGACTACGATGCAGCGCTGGTAAAGTCCTCGCAGAAGCGGGTTCGCTCCAAATATCCGGCAAGAAACAGCGAATCGGACAGCGAGGATGAGGTGGGTGCCACCGCAAAGTCCAGTAAAAAGGCACGCCTGGCCGAGCGGCATGCACAGAAAATGCAGAAACTGCGCGAGAAACGGGAAAAGCGCAAGGAGCAGCGTAAACAGAAGAAGACAAAGGGAAAGGCAGAGGAAAAGGATGCGGAAGACAGCGATGATTCCAACGATGAGTATGCGGCAGATCGATTTGCGTTGCTCAGGCCACCGCCGTCGGATGACGAGGCTGCAGAGGAACCAGATCAAGCTGAATCCAGCGACGAAGAGGACGAGGCCCCCGATCTAGTGCCCATCTCTACAGTCAACGGAGAAGATGTTTCCGCCTGGAACGGTCTGGGAGTTCCCTCGCCCATTCTGCGCGCCCTGGGAGAACAAGGCTTCAAGGGGCCCACCCAAATCCAGGCCTTAACCCTGCCCGCAGCGATTCACGGCAAAAAGGATATCCTAGGAGCAGCGGAAACGGGCAGCGGAAAGACACTAGCCTTTGGAATACCCATGCTGGCCGGGATTATGGAGCTGAAGCAACGGAATGTCAGTTCAGGAATACGCAAGGCACCCAAAGTAAAGGGACAGCAGCCTGCTGAGGTAGCCGATGATGAGCACGAATTAACGCCTCCGCCGGAGGAACTGGATCATGTTTCCGGGGCCAGCGACGAGGAAAGCGATATGGAGGAGAATGCCCAGCGGAAGCAGCTACCCTTGTACGGCCTGGTGCTGACACCCACTCGGGAGCTGGCCGTGCAGGTGAAGAATCATCTAGTAACGGCTGCCAAGTACACCGGCATTCGTGTGGCAGCCATCTTTGGTGGTCTGGCCGTGGCGAAGCAGGAGCGTGTCTTGCGTCAGTGTCCGGAAATAGTTGTGGCCACGCCCGGTCGTCTATGGGAGCTGTATTCCCAGGGCAACCACCATCTCAAGAAAATCGAGGACGTCAGTTTCTTAGTCATTGACGAGACGGATAGGATGGTGGAGAAGGGGCACTTTGAAGAGCTTAGGAGCCTGCTTAAGGTGCTCAACGCGGACGAGCAGAAGAAACAGCAGCGCCAAAACTTTGTCTACTCGGCCACGCTGACATTGGTTCACGATCTACCAGATCACATGCAAAGTAAGTCACTACTTCAAAAATAGATATCCAAAAGTACCTTAATCATATTCATTTCAGAGCGTAATACAGGCAAGCGGCCTAAATTTGTAAAGCAAACGGTGGACCAGAAAATCGAGAGCCTCATCGAGGAGCTGGGCATCTCACAGCCCAAGATTGTGGATATAACCAGCACTCAGCGTAGGTATATCAAGGCTGAAAGCTAAATTCCATCCTACAAATCCTTCTCGAATTACAGAAACCGCTCAGACCTTGACCGAAAGTCGTTTGCTGTGCCCCCTCGAGCAAAAGGACTTTCATCTGTACTACTTCATTCAACGCCATCCAGGACGCACCATTGTCTTTTGCAATTCCATTGACTGTGTCAAGAGGCTGGCCACGCTATTCGGCCTGCTGGACTGCAATCCCTTGCCCCTACATGCCAACATGATCCAGAAGCAGCGCCTCAAGAACCTGGAGCGCTTCCGCGACAGTCCAACAGGTTTGCTGATAGCCACTGACGTGGCTGCCCGAGGCCTGGACATACCCAATGTGGAGCATGTGATCCACTATCAGGTGCCGCGGACCAGCGAGAACTATGTGCACAGGTCAGGTCGCACGGCTCGAGCCAATAAGCATGGCATAACTGTCATGTTCATGGAACCGGGTGAAGTCAAGAGCTACGTGAAACTCTACAAAACCCTGGAGAGGAGTGAGTAAAGGGAAGAGTGTGCCTTAGTAGCCGGGTTAAGATACCACTTTCCATTGCAGCTGAAGATCTGCCACTGTTCCCCATCTCGGAGCGCTTTATGGGCGCTGTCAGAGAGCGAGTAAACCTGGCCCGTGATCTGGACAAGGAGGAACTGAAGCTGAAGCGCGTTCAAAGCGAGCGAGGCTGGATGAAGAAGCACGCCGAGGAAATGGACATGATAATCGACGGCTACAATGATGAATCGTAAGGGGGAACTATTATAACATTAAACTTGAATTAAATTATTTGCATTTCTAAAGTGGCAGCGATCAGGACGAGGATCCGTTTGTGATAGAGCGCCGGCGCAATCGTCTTCACGTAGAGACTGTGAGAGCGCAGCTCAATGCTCTCCTGGCACAGCCAATCTTCCCCAGGGGCTTCAGTTTTAAGTACCCCAACAGCGAGGCGGCTAACCAGGTGAGCACAAGTCACACGCAAAGCGCCGTTGAGACCATGAAAGCGGCCATTGAAGACCAAAAGCAGGCCAAAAAAGATCGGAACAAACGCAAACGGAATGCCTAGGACAAGCTTAAGACTATTTTTTACTAAAATGATGTGTACAAAGTATAAAAACAATAAAACCTTGAATGGGATGCTTACATTAATGCTTTGAGACGTAGTACCGCACGCCCCCTTCGGTCAGAGAGCGGGCATGCTTAGCCAGCAGCGTGGATACGGATAATGTGGGTGTGGTGAAGCATCTGCGAAAAAGATAACCTCTTTTAATAAGTTTCTTAATGGGATTGTGAAGCCTGACTTACTCCATGTATGGTTCCATTTCATCCAACGTCCATTTCTGCTTTGTCTTGAACAAGGCCCTCATGCGATCGTTGATGCTGGTGGGCAGCTGCTCCTCGGACAGCGAGCGAATACAGGGCTGAGCGCCCTCCTTGTCGCAGATGCCGAGGCCACGAAGATAGCTAAGCTGGCAGGTCATACCCTCGGGCAGGGCCTCCTGCCACGTGCGCATGAATTCCTCGTTGCGAAACCGCAGTCCGGGCTGTAAAATATTTTGTGCCACGATTCGGGCCACCAGTGACTCCTGGTACTGAAACTTGTCCGGACATCGTTCGCTGGGAATGGTGTAGATATCGAATAGTCCAGAAACAACCGCCTCCGGAGCGATACCGATCAGGGCACTGATAGTTTCCTCCCTTTCTACTTCGTCCAGGGCCCAGGAGTTTTCGCTGATGAGTCCCAGCATCAGGCTTATAGTCCTGTACTCGTACTCGTACTCCATTACGCGCATGTGGCCGTCTAGTTGCATGGCTCGATACTGCCGTAATCCGTCCATAAACTGCGCCCTACTGCACTGCACCGTGTCCAGCAGCTGGGTCAGGCTGAAGAGCAGCTTGCGCTCAATACAGAACTCGTTCTCCGGGCCCGAGTACCGTGTTAATTGCAGCAGTTCTCCCAGCTTGCGGAAGCGCGGCTTGATCTCGCGGCACTCAAAGTACTCATGGAACACTTTGAGAACCGACCGCTGCTCCAGAGTGCGTGGCACCTCCAGCTCATCCTCGGTGCTATCGTTCAGGCTACGTTCCAGGGAGGCATTGGCGTTGCCCGTGCGCGGACTCTTCAGCGGCGACGTGCTGGTGGCAGCCGCAAACTTTAGGTTCGGCACCAAAAGCAGGCTGTTGGAGATCTCGGCCCCCTTCACGTCGTACGTCCGCTCGTCGGTGCAGAGCACCACCTTTTCGTTCTGGCCGCCCTTGAAGTGCAGCGTCTGGCCGTCGCGGATTTGCTCCAGCATGTGTCCGTCCAGTTCCAGCAGTCGCAGATTTTCCGATTCCACATCCGCCGAGGGAAAATAGAGCGCCTGGGTCAGTTGGGTCAACTGGCGCTCGTCTAGCTTCGCATGCTTTACAATGGCCTTTACGTCCTCCGGCGTGCGCTGGTAACTGGGGAGGCGTAGGTGGTCAAGTGGAGGAGGTAGAGGAACGAGTTCGGTCACTTACAGCTGAGGGATATTCTCATCAACTTCCATTGACTCCATTTCCGCAAATTTAAAAATATAAAACCTCGATCAAAACAAATGGGGCTCAAAATACCGCGAAACCGTCGTGATCGCGCACGTCGTGATCACGATCACACAAGATAACATGGCGTTGCCAGACTTCATTTTGAAAGTGTACCTTTCAGTCAGTGGCGGATACATGGGGCGCCGATGGGGACGATCAAGCTATTAAGCTAAGTGCTAACATAGGACAAATTCTTTAAAAATGTTTAATTTCATTTGTTTAAAAATATATATTGTTTGGTTCGAGTCATCGCTAGCGTGGGATTTTTTAGGGTAAAGCCAAATTTGCATCTGGCAACACTGAGCTGTAGTGGAAAACTCATGCACAATAAAATATAAAGAATTGAGGATATCCACAATAAAACCGTTATTCATCGCCCAAAAACCCCTCTAGCATGTGCAGGACACCTTTAAGCTTCTGATCGTAACGGAAAAGAGCGGAACAGCGACGGCGAGAGCAAGAGCAGAGCAGTGCAAAAACTCAAATTTACTTGTACTATAGATAGCACCAAGGAGAACCACAAAAGGCAAAACCAAAATGGTAATAAAATGCCACCAAAACACGAGAAGACCAAGTGCAAGGGAGCAGGGGCGGGGAAAGTGTGGCCATGGTGGGGTTACAAGGCGGAATGCGAAAAAGAGAGTGAGAGTTTGCCCCCTATAAAGGCGAATATTCGCCAATTTTCACATCCCCCCACCACCCTCCGCCTAGCCTTGCACTTGCTGCTGCGATAATAATTGGGAATTTTTCTAAAATAACTTCTACGTCTTGCCTTGCAGGGAAATGAAACATCACTGCCCATGGAAATGTGTTCCAATTGTAAGTACGATTTTTTCAGCCAATGTCATTTGGACGCAAAGGCAGCTGTTTATGAATATGCAAACAACAGCGCATACATACATACATACATGTGTACATGCGACTAAATGTACATAAGCGTATAAAATAGGCAGAGACGGAATGTAAACGAAACGTGGCGCTTTAAAATTCCATTTACAACGTATTTGGCTTCGAATTCCCAACTCAATATTCCCGATACTGCAGTCAGAGATCACGAGGCCTTAGTTTCTTCCTCTTGGTTTTGTTTATTTCGAAATTGGCATTCTAGAATGTGGGTTTTTGTCACCCTTTGTTCGTCTGTGATGATCGACAGACAACCTGTCTCTAAAAATAAAATATAGCCAAGACTCTGGCAATCTGACAGTGGCATTTTACATCCTTAAATCATAAATGTTTATTGCCTAACAAAGCTTATATTTTATATTATTTTAAATAAAAGGTTTACATTTTTGCAATTTATTTAACAAAAATACATTTGCTGCCGATTTTTAGTGTTAATATATTTATGTATGTATTTTCTCCATCTTTTCCATCAGTCGACGCGGATGAGATCCGGCGATTGGGAAAACGCTTCCGGAAACTGGACCTGGACAACTCGGGAGCGCTGAGCGTTGACGAGTTTATGTCGCTGCCGGAGCTGCAACAGAATCCGCTGGTGCAGCGCGTGATTGACATTTTCGACGCCGATGGTAACGGCGAGGTGGACTTCAAGGAGTTCATTCAGGGCGTCTCACAGTTCAGCGTCAAGGGCGACAAGCTGTCGAAGCTTCGCTTCGCTTTCCGAATCTATGACATGGACAATGACGGCTACATTTCCAACGGCGAACTGTTTCAGGCAAGCTCAACACGGTATAAGTGTGGAAGAATACCTACCAATAACTTCCTTTTTCTTCTGTGTCTTTGTGCAGGTGTTAAAGATGATGGTGGGCAATAATCTGAAGGAAACCCAACTGCAGCAAATTGTGGACAAGACGATCGGATTTGCGGACAAGGACGAAGATGGGAAGATCTCGTTCGATGAGTTCTGCTCGGTGGTCGGCAACACGGACATACACAAGAAGATGGTTGTCGACGTCTAAAATAGGTTAACCGCAGATCCTTTTTATACGCGATTTTATTTATTCTTTTGTACATGCGTCTGCATCCTTCGATTATCACTACTATTATTATGATTACTATTTTTTTGATCAGCGATTCTCTAGTTGAATATTGTTATAAGAGCCGTTAGCGAGCCAGTTCGTCAGTCAGTCAGTCGCGAGAAAAAATATTGTTATCCTAAGTTGAAAAGTGGAATAATGCGCCTCCTACTTACTTCTTATATACTTGCATATATAGTCATAATTTATTATACAAATATACACTTAATGAATTCAAAACCCCTTCAAATCAAAACTAAAACTAAAACGATAATACAGCAATGCAAGTGAAGGCAAAATAAAGCAACCCAAGTTGAACCAACGCTCTTTCGAATCGGCAACTGAAAGTTTTCCACTTTCACCGACGTTTTCCCCCGTCTTAAGCGCACACTATCCCATTGAGGTGTCCGTAGTTTACGTTAATTATTTCTAATTCTCCTGTGATTTTGCCAAAAACAAAACAAAAAACGAAAAATGATGAGAAAGGACGCAAGCATAAGGGGCGGTCGGCTATGCAACCTGCCCGAAGGAGCTCTCCTCTATTGACTTAGTCTTATTTACACGTTGTGTACTTTTTATATATTTATACATACTACTTGTACTAATCGAATGTTATAATCTACGTATTTTTATATATCTTGACTAACTTAAAAAAAAAAAGAATCAAACAAGAAAATCGGCGAAAGGAGCAACATTCGTTTGCTAGTTTTTTAACTCTACCTTACCCAAAATCTAACGCAACTTAACTTAAATTATATTAACTAATTCTCACACAGAATTATGCCTCGAGAAATTATCTAAAATACGCTACATTTTACGAATTATCAAGCGAAATCGAATAATTATACATACATCAATACATATGAAGCAATGCCATGCGATTATTGCAATAACATTTTTTTATACTTAAAGATACTAGTTAAAAGTGCAAGAGAAAGCAAACAATAATATAATGCATGTTACAAATTTTACAATTAACAAATTTTTGCACTCGCCACTCAATTTGTTAGCTAATCAATTCCATTGCATTATCCAAACAAATAATCGACTCAAAATCGTTACTCATTGTAAAAACAAAAGAAAGGAGCCAACAAGCTGGTGGTACCTCGTTGCTAAAAAAGCTTTGTTGGCCAAACTGTCGAAGCAATAAAAAGCAAATCCTTTAATAAAAATATACTTATACACAAAACATACAAAGGTTTTCCTTTCCAATGCGGTCGATTCCGGGAGAGAGACCACGACATCAGTCAGATAAGATAAACCAAAGCGTCGTCGGAAAAAGCTTGTGCATCGCCGATTAACACGCATTCAGTTGTGAAATATTACTCGTACAGCCAGGTTCTCTAAAAAACTCGCCAAAATGCTGAAGCTGGACACCAAAGGAGGCATCATCTGTACAGGCATTTTGTCCATAGCCTTTGCCATTACCTATTTGGTTCTTATGGACGACTATTTCTGGAGAAGTATATATACACAATTTGAGGAATTGCTGATGAACTGCCTTGCCTGATTAATTTGTAATTATTTCGTTATTCTTAGATGGTCTGTACGATCTTGGGATACACATTTCTTCTCTGCAAATTTTGGGCAGCTTGTGCTTGCTTATTGGAGCTTTTAAGGTGAGAAACATTTATATTTTTCCCTTATCGATTGTTTATCTTATAATCCATTTTTAGCAAAATTACAAATGCTTTGTGCCCTGGATGATTACCACAGGATTCTTCTTGTATCTAATGGTTTACTTGACCATTGTTCTGCTGACCATGAATGGCCACTGGATCTTTGTTCCAGTGATGGCGTTGCCATTTACAGGTAAGAGCTCTTCCTTGTTTAATTTTCCTAAAAATTACTTTCTAAATCTACATATAACTCTATATTGTCTATTCTTAGTTTATCTGAGTTGCGCTTTGTACTCGGTGCAAAAGGCATTCGACAGGATGCGCAAGGAGGAGCCGCCAGCATATACCAATTTGAACGATAAAAAGGATTATATTAGTCATATTTAAGTATATTTGTAATATGTATAAAGATTCATATAAAAAACCAACAAGGGTGAGGGAGAATTTGTTTGCTGATTAGATAAAAGCAAAATAAAAGCTTCTTTATCATCGAGAAATAAGCATCTATATTGTGGTTTACGTTCGCATTTTGACGTCATAAATGTAGGCCACAAGTTTACAATTAATTTTGTTTCCAATGGGTTTTGAATTCGTTGGAATACTTGTAACGAAACTCCATAACTACTTGATCTTGGATTTGAATCCATTCTCCATGAGAGGCACCACTTCTTTGGGATTGCTATTTCTAGTCTCCAAAAGCGACACGTGATCAGAAATAAAAGCATGCCAAGGCGCATATAAGAAGGGAAAATGGACAAATCAGCAAAATCTGGAGGGGATGCTTAACAGGAAGCTAGCCAGCAAGTTGCAGAAACTACCGATGACCATTCCCCATGGGAGGCGATGACAGATAAAGCAAATGGGGCTTTCAGGAGGGAATGTCTCACTTTGAAGCAGACTTTTGGGCTTTAATTTATAAATAAAAGTTAAATGATGGAATTTACTCATTAACTTCTGTCTTTTAATTTAACGCTCCATGTGGGCTTCCAGTGAAGGATAACCAGTTTTCTTAATTGTTATAACAATTATAATGTTAGTAAACTGTAAGGGTTTAACTACTTTGTCTTGGTTTTTATTTTAATTTAACTTTTATAATGTTAAGCTGAATTCTCTCATCGCCGTTTGAAAAAGAACCCCTGACTTATAAGCGGCTTATCAGCAAGCAAGTAAGCTACGCATGAGCACAAAGGCTACTAGGAGGAAAAAAGCTCGTTGGCTGAGAGAGGGAGAGAACCACAAGAGAGAGGCTTTTTCTCTCTTCCAGATATTTCTGGATCCATCCCCATCTCACACACAAAATATATGTATTATTGTGAGTTTTGCATTCTCAACAGGGATCAGTTGTGAAATAATTCTCCTACAGCAAGGTTCTCTAAAAACTCGCAAAAATGCTGAAGCTGGACACCAAAGGAGGCATTATCTGCACTGGCATCTTGTCCATAGCTTTTGCCATTACCTATTTGGCTTTTATGGACGACTATTTCTGGAGAAGTAGGCACTATCCCTATGTTTCGAAGAAAGGTAAACATGAAATTCAAACTTATATACATAGCTGTCGAACTATACGAGATATGAAACAAATTTAAATGCAGCTATGTATACACATTTTACAGAATTTCTAGGGAACTGAATCGCCTGATTGATATGTAATTATTTCGTTATTCTTAGGTTCACTGTACGATCTTGGGATACACATTTCTGCTTTGCAAATTTTTGGCAGCTTGTCCTTACTTATTGGTGCTTTTAAGGTGAGAGAAATTCATGGGTTTTCGATAGTACATTTATATTAAATTCCAATTATAGCAAAATTACAAATTCTTTGTGCCATGGATGATTACCACAGGATTCTTCTTCTATCTAATGCTTTACTTGACCATTCATCTGCTGACCACGAATCTACGCTCCTGGATCTTTATTCCAGCGATGGTGTTCCCATTTACAGGTAAGAGCTTTTCCTTATTTAATTTTTCTAAAAATTACTTTATAAATATTTAGTTTATCTGAGTTGCGCCTTTTACTCCGTGCAAAAGGAATTCAACAGGATGCGCAAGGACGAGCCGCCAGTATATAGCATTTTGCCCGACAAAAAGAATTATATTAGTCATTTTTAAGTATATAATATAAAGTTCCTATAAGTCTTGCCAAAATAAATATGAATAAAAAACCACTAATGGTACAGGAGAATTTGTTTGCTGATAAAAGCAAAATAAAAATTTCTTTATCGTCGAGAAATAAGCATCTACATATACATATTGTAGTTTATGTACGCATGTTGACGTCATAAATATAGGCCACAAGTGTACAATTAATCTTATTTTAAATGACTTTTGGATTCTTTGGAATACTTGAAACGAAAGCTCAAGACTCCTTGATCTTGGATTTGAAGCTATTCTCCATTTGTTTTCATTGCTTTTGGTTTCCGGTAGAGACACGTAAGGAAGAAGCTTTTAGCATTTTAAGGCAAATGTTTCAATCACCGAAATCAGGATGGAAAAGAGCATGCTTGGTAAGAAGTTGGGCAGCCAGATGCAGAAACTACCGATGACCATTCCCCATGGGAGGCGATGACAGATAAAGCAAATGGGGCTTTCAGGAGGGAATGTCTCACTTTGAAGCAGACTTTTGGGCTTTAATTTATAAATAAAAGTTAAATGATGGAATTTACTCATTAACTTCTGTCTTTTAATTTAACGCTCCATGTGGGCTTCCAGTGAAGGATAACCAGTTTTCTTAATTGTTATAGCAATTTTAATGTTAGTAAACTGTAAGGGTTTACATACTTTGGCTTCTTGTTTTTATGTTAAATAAATTTTCATAATGAAAAATTGAATTTTCTCATCGCCGTTTGGAAGAGAGCCCCTGGCTCATGAGCGGCTTGACATCCTTGGGCTCTCGACCGCGGGTCTCCGGAAGATAACGCCAGGTGAGCAGCAGGCAGTAGAGGCAGACACACATGCAAGGAACGAAGGCAAAGGAGCTCCAGACACTCTGCAGCAGGGGAAAGCACATGCCCACCAGAAAGTTGCCTATCCAGGAGAACAAGCTGCCCATTGACATGGCCACGGGGCGAGGAGAGTCCTCTAGCAGCTCTAAGCGAATAAAATTAATTACATTATTAATGTTGAATAAAAAAAAAATAATATTTCCTATACAAACCAGAGCCAATGAAGTAAGCAATGGGACCCAGACCCAGCTGGAATCCCAGGATAAACGTGAGAATGAAGGAGGCGCAGAAGTAGGCCAGCACTGTGCTCTCCGAACTCTCCAGATAGAAAAGACCAAAGGACATGGCAAACAGGGCGAGGGCACAAATGGAGCAGGAGATCATCATAAGCGGACGACGGGGAAACCGGCTGATGAGCAGCGGTCCCAGAAGTGAAGTGCACATGTTAAAGCCTCCGATTCCCAGATTCAACCAAGTGGCTGCTCCCGACGAGAACCCCGCATCAGTTAGAATGGCCAGCGAATAGAAGAATATCTGAATGGAAAAGGATAACTAAGTTCAATATATGAAGATTAGATTATGACTCACTGCATTGATTCCACTGAGCTGCTGGGTGGCCTGAAAGGAGCAAACCAGCAGTAGAGGCAGCCATAGCTCCCTGTCTCTCAGGACCGAGCAAAGAGAGCTGGCCTTCGCACTGGCCTTGGCCTCCAAGGTAGCCTTCATCTCGAGCATTTCCCGCTGCACCTCTTCCTCAGCGTATTTCCCTCGCAAATGTTGCAGAGCCCGTTCACTGGCGGCGGCATCTTTCTTGTGCAGGTAGAGCCAGCGAGGACTTTCCGGAAACCACCACATGAGCAGGAGCGACGTCATAACTAGGAGACTGTAGAAACTAAGGGCGTAGGGCCACAGCCGATCGTTGCCCAACAGATGTGACAAGGTTAACACCTGGGCCAGTAGGATTCCTCCAGTTACACCGATGCAGGTGAAGACACCAACACTGCCGCTGAGCTCCGAGGGAGCCGCTTCCAGCAGATACATGGGCTGGGCGGTGAAAATCAAAGCCGATGCAATGCCGCCCAGGAAACGGCCCACCATCAGCATCTCTAGAGATTTAGCGGCACGGCACCAAGTGAAGAGGATGCCGGAGATCACGAGCAGTATGCAGCTGATCATCAGGCAGCCCTTACTGGAATTATTAATTAAGATAATATATATTTTTTTTTAATTCCTTGATAACAATTTAAGTTGGAAGGACTCCTCACCGTCCGTATTTGTCGCTGCACAAAGCACTGAAACAGGAACCACAGATACCACCTATTAAATAGATGGACACAATGCTCGTCCACAGGATGTCCAGCTGGCTGGCGGTGACAATCGTATCGTATTCGGTTGCCAAGATGTCCTGGCACCACTTTTTAATGATCTCGGCCGGCGCATTGAGCACGCCAAAGAAGTAGCCCACCGGAACCGTGGTGCCCAGCGTTACGGTCAGGCAGATGAGCAGCAGAAGCGGTGTCCAGCCGCTGACCCTGGGCGGGGTCACGTGCTGCAACGAGACGGAACAACGGGATAAACCCGAGATTAGAACGGCGAAAACGAAAGACTTAAGCGACAAACTCGCCGCCGGCTTAAGGGAGAAAGCGGGAAATCACCATAATAACAACCATGGCGACGGCGCGATGCGGTACGAAGCTGGCACATCAAGAGCCAAACCGAAAGTGATTCGCATCCGGGCAACTTACAGACAGCGAGCTCCGTTGACTCATCCCCCCTAGCTTGTCTATCAATCAGAAACACAACACACATTTTCGCTATGCTTGCCCAGGGCACGGAATACACGGTTACAGCACAGAACCCGTCATCGTCGTAGATAAATTTAGCGTCTTTTGTCTCACGACTGACTGCTTGTTTTCTTATCATCGACACGGGTGCGTTTGTTTGCACTAACTACTAGCCGGGAGAGTACACAAACACCTCTATACTCTATGCACCCAATTCAAACTTGATCTTGAAGGTTTGTTATTGAAAATGAAACAGGTTTTTAAACAATCAGTTATATCCCAACTTTAATATATATTTTGCAAAATATTAACATAAGTTTGTTCCATTATATCTCAATGGAAACGGAAGGGCATTCAGCAAGATATCTGCGCCTCTGCCAAACTCTTCGTACAACAATAAATCTAATTAACCGAGTATTAGTTGGCGCTCCGTCCTCCTCCAGGCATTTTAATTGAACTTGTGCAGCTTGATAAGAAGTCGAAGCGCTGAAAGCTTTTTACAGGGTGTCTTAACCTAAGTTGTATTCCAGTTCCTCATTTATTATTGGTTTGTACAAAAAACTTACGAGTACAATTATAGTTTGGCCGGTCATTGAGCAAATTCACTACCGACTTATTGTCGACCAAGGCACTTATGTACTGGACGAGACTTTCTGCTTAAAACCTATTACCACCCTTAAACCTAATTGTAAGATAATAGCCAATGGGTTAGCCTGTGTTAGCCAAGCTCTCATTTGACCTTGGAGCGGAAGCCCTTCGATACGAGGGGCGCCACCTCGGATGGATCGCGTCCGTGCGTTTCCGGCAGGTAGAATTTCGTCAGCAAACACAGTAAAACGCAGGTAATGGAGAAGGGCAGAAAGACAAAGGCGCCCCAAGCATTCTGTAGGAGGGGAAACGAGATGCCAATTATGAAATTGCACGTCCACGAGGCCAGACTGCCCATCGACATGGCCACGGAGCGGGGGGCCACCTCGAAAAGTTCTACAAATTATAAAATACAATCGAATTGAATCAGTTTGGTGGCTAAAAATAAACCTAAATTGCGTCAGCAATCCACGACGCTGTGTCTGGAAACGTATCTGATGTGGGGAGCCAATGAACTTTAAATAGACTCCAATTGCAGACCCAGTTCTTCGAAATTCGAGCAGCTAGGGAATGCCAATAATTACCGGATCCTCAAATTACCTGAGCCAATGAAGTAGGGAATGGGACCCAGCCCGAATTGATAGAAGAATATGTAGCCCATAATGCAGACGATGCAGGCAATGGCAAACCAGCTGACATAGTCCTAGTAATAAACAATACACATTAGTTGGACAAAATGACTAAGATCAAGACCTTCAGGGGTCGACTTACAATATAAAACAGGACAAAGGCAATGGTGAACAGGAAGACAGAGCAGAGGGCGCAGGAGAACATCATCAGGGTTCGCCTATTGCAGTAGGCCATCAGCAAGGGTCCTAGCAGTGAAATGCACAAATTTAGGCATCCAGCGCCCAAATTGGCCCACTGCGCGTTTTCAGTGGACAAGCCGGCCTTTTCAAAGATGCTCACAGAGTAGTAAAATATCTGAAAAAAACCACTCCATTAGGTTTAGCCTGATGTATGAAGCTGCATCCAGTACTAACCGCATTAATGCCCGACAGTTGCTGGCCACCGTGGAAGCAGCAGACAATAATTAGTGGCAACGTGAGGCGAGGATCACGCAGCACATCACAGAAGCTGCTCGTCTGCACCTTGGCATTGGCCTCTGCCTCCATCTCAGCAATCTCTTGAGCAATCAGATCCTCCGCATCCTTGCCTCGCAGTCGCTGAAGTTCTCGCTTGGCAGCTGCCCGATTTCCCTTCACGATATACAGGAACTTGGGGCTTTCAGGGAACAGGTACGATGGCAGATAGCATACTAGGATTAAACCCATGTAAGCGGTCAACGCATAGTGCCAGAGTTCCTCAGTGCCAAAGACGTCTGCCAGACTGCAAACCTGACCAACGACCACTCCTCCGGTCACGCCGACAGCACAGAAGACGCCCAGGGTGCCCCGAAGGGCCTGAGGAGCCACCTCGGACAGGTACATGGGCAGTGTGGCGGTTACAAGACCGGAAGCCAGGCCCACAATGAAGCGGCCTATGACCAGCATCTCCACCGAGTTGGCGGCACGGCAGAAGAAGAAGAGCACAGCACCCACAGTGAAAAGGGCTCCGCAGATGAGGAAGCATGCTTTTCTGAAAAGGAACATAATGTATAATAATGTATGTAGAACTGAACAACAAATCAAGTGTGGGGTAAGTTTTGTTATACTGTGAGTGTGCCAGCAGAGAAATGAAGTTTAAATTGTCGAAAATAAAAATAAAAATCGAAATATATTTACACTTTCTAATAAATCAATTGCAAGGGTATACAAACTTCGGCTTGCCTTAGCTTCCGTTCTTGTTTCTAAAG